TTGTTTTCCCGTATTTCAGATTCAAACTTGAAATTTGGTGGTGATGCTTCTATTAAAACTGCATTTTCTGAATTTTGGTCAAGCCAAGTTTCAGCCATGAACATAAGATCAAGATTATGAGAAGAAATAAAATTATTGATTAAAAAAGACTTGTTACAAAGAGATCTGACATTAAGCGTAGCAAGTTTCAAAGTTTCAGTATCAGCGGTTGCGGTCGGCTGATTCTTACACGGAACAAGAATTAGATTTTCCAGATTAGACTGATTAACTCCAGATGTTTTTCTGTAATGTATTCTTTGTGTTATCACTAAGGGAATGGCACAGGTGGCTTCATGACAGGGCCCCAGCCGGGTCTCTCCTCTAACTAGACTGCCAGTGGCTGCGAAGCAGAGATCCTGTGCATCCTAGTGTTTAGAGAAAAGAGGGGTAGGGGAAGGCGGGGGAGGAGGATGGAGAGGTGGGTGGCTTTTGGGTGTTGAACGAGGGGGGCAGGGAGGTGGATGGGTTTTTGGTGATGGGTTAGGGGAGGGGCAGGCTGAGTTGGGTGGTGGACGAGGGGGGAGTGGAGGTGGAGGGTTTCTTGGTGCTGAGTTAGGGGGGGGGGAGGTGGGCTAAATGAGCAGGAGGGGGGGGTGGAATACTTATGGGGTTAGAGGAGGGACGGGTGGATTTTGTGGGAGAATTTGAGTTGGACGCCCTAGGTAGCTTTGGAGGTACGTATGGGGAGTAGTTTTGAATGTTAGATAGGACTCTTGATCTGGCTACAGTGGGTGTGAGAGGAATAGTCTTCATCGCCGATCTTATCATGCCTGCAGAGTGTTCCGGTAAATCCAGTAGTGAAGGCGGGGATAGAAAACAAAGGGAAAGGTCGTCCTCATTTTCCCTAGATGGAGTGGATGTAGCGGGGGGGACCCAAGCCGGGTCCATGGAAGGTGATGAGGGAGTCTTTGGTGGAGACAGAGGTGGTTGAGGAACCCCCAGTACAGGCCTGACTGTAGCCTGGAGTAATGGGGGAAGCTTCACGGGAGCTGTAGGTGGGGAAGGTGCTGCTGAAGATGACGGAGCAGCCACTGCTGCTGCTGAAGATGATGGAGCAGCCACTGCTGCTGCTGTATCCACTGCTGCTGGTGAAGATGATGGAGCAGCCACTGCTGCTGCTGAAGATGATGGAGCAGCCACTGCTGCGGCTGTATCCACTGCTGCTGCTGAAGATGATGGAGCAGCCACTGCTGCTGCTGTATCCACTGCTGCTGCTGAAGATGATGGAGCAGCCACTGCTGCGGCTGTATCCACTGCTGCTGGTGGTGCTGTATATGCGGATGGCGCTGATGAAGATGTGGCAGCTGCTGATGATGCTGGGGGTGGAGGCGTTGAGCTCTTTCGAAGCCGTGGAGGTGTTGAGTTCTTTTGGAACCTTGGAGGTGTTGAGTTCTTCATGAATCGTGGAGGTGTGGAGTTCTTTTGAGGCGGTGGGGGTGCAGAGACCTCGGGAGTCGGTGGAGATGGTCGTGATGTCTGTGCCCTTTGCTTCTTCTTTCTCCCTTTCAACGGCTGCACGCGCTGCGCAGGCTGAGGTCTTAGGGCAGATGCAAAGTTATCCATCAGCACTTTTACTCCGTAGTTGTTCAGATGTGGGCCTTTTTCTTCAAAAAGCTCGTGCCTATTCCATAACAGATTAAAGTTTTCAATGAAGCCAAGTCCTCTGCGTGAACACTCATTGAGTAGGAATGTGTTTAGCTGATACAGACGGCTAAACTTCTCCATTTTTCCATCTATATTTGGCAGTGGGCCACTAAGAAAAATTGTTATGTCCATTTTCTTGAGGTCATCCAGTAACAGCGTTAAATCCATTCGTAACTTCTCGCTTGCCTTCTCATAGATATCTACCGCCCCCGTGTGGATCAATAATGTACGCACACCACTGTTCTCAGATAACACTTTAGGCAGGAGAGTTCTTATCTCAGCAACTTTAGCAGAGTGAACTGAGACAGTGAGCATGGACTCCATGTTTACATTTTTCACCGAGCCATCTCCGATAAGGACACAGTTTGTCCTTGGTGGAGGCGCTGCAGTTTTTAGCAGCTTTGTTGTAGAGACTACTGCTGATTCATCTTCCAAAAGTGGTGAAAAGCGGTTTCTTGTAATTAAAGATTTTTGCTGTGGCATTATGACACTCTTGTTATCATTAGCTTTGCCTTGTTTGGGCTTGGCACCATATGTGTTCCAACAATTGTCTCTGTTGATTTTGGGAAATGAAATAGCGTCATCATAACTTACGTTCTGTCCATGTGGTCCATTTCCTTTCACTGGTATTGTTGTGTTCAGCCCCAATTCTGATTCAAGCACAAACATTCGGTCTTGAAGAAGTTTTAGCTCCTGTTTGAGTGAAAAACAGCCATCGCAAAGTTTTGTTCTTTCCCGTCCTCCCGACATGCTGTAAGTTAGGTAAATTCCACAAGTCTTGTGGAAGGGGAAGAAAAAAATGGATGGAACAGCACCCCCTACAAAAGTCAGTTTACATTGCGCCGATGGGAGCGGGTCCGAGGTCAAGTTTGTCATTGAGCTACAAAATTTGGTACACATGTTCCTCAAGTCATGACATGAAAAAAAGTTATTATGGCTCCGCCTCCTAACAAACAGGGAGCTCATTAATTTCAATGGGAAATGGAAAAATTAAAATTGATATTTTTCACACATGTCTAGCACAACCGACATGGTACATGTCTAACACATGTACCATCAATAGCTGATCATAGAATTTGGATGAGTTAAACGTTGTCCGAGCAGCGGAGCGGCAAAATGGGACTTTTTTTTTTTCAATTTTTGACAAAAGCAAATTTGCTCCCGTAAATCTGTGATTTATTGAATCACAGATTTACGACAGTAGCTCAGTTGGTAGAGCATTGGCCTTAAGGCCAGAAGGTCGTGGGTTCAATTCCCACCTCTACACCTTCTCCACCGACTCCCACTGATGACTGCTGTCGTTGTGTCCTTGGGCAAGACACTTAACCCCACTTTGCCCAAAAAGCCCCCACTGAAAGATCAAGGCTCTCACAGTCAGAGAGCAGCCGTCCTCCTGTGGACTCACCACCTGCAGAGGATCAGTGAGGGGCTGGTGCTATGAGACTTGGGTGGCATCTCTGACTGCCACCCCCCTGACCCAGAAATGGATTAAAGGGTAGAAAATGGATGGATGGAAATCTATGATTGTATCCCAAGACTGTGTTTCATTCATTTATTATTATTGTAGCTGAGGTTTGGGTATCGATTGTTTGTCTGGTCTCGGAGTCTGCTGTAGTCCAGACCCGAGTCCGGACTAGCCTAGCTTAGCCTAGCCTAGCCGCTAACTCGCTACCCCTATGGCTGCCGCTGTCTCTCCCTCGGTCCTTTACTGCTCGAGTTGCCATATGACGAGTTTAAACCCTGGATCCTCCTCTGATGGCAGTGATAGATGTGTTAAGTGTAGTACAGTTGTAGCTTTGGAATCCAGGGTTAGTGAGTGAGCTGAGTCTCAAGCTAGCGCTAGCATTAGCTTTAGCCTAGCAGTATCCTCGGACATGCATGCTCTGCTACACAGGCCGCTGTTGCTAAAGGTATGTCCCATTCAGATTGTACAGAGCAGTCGGCACCATTGACTTCACAGTGTCCGAGTCATTCTTTTAAGACAAAAGCATTTTCAAAAACTACTCGTGCTGTGCTGAATTTTCTATTAAACACTTGCTCTGGTATTATAATAAATCCAAGCACCGCACCAGTACTAGTTACGCGCCACACGTAAATGACGTGGTCTGACAACGCTGAGGACATACTGGGGGTACTATTTTTGATGGAAAAGCACGCGAACTGGGCCATGGCGCGCCGTGTAGAGTCAAAACGTGCCGTACTCGGACTGTGGAAAAACGGCATTAAGACTGGTTTGAAAATTATCCGAATCAAGTGGTTTTTAACACACTCCACATTCAAACAAAGAACCACAAAAACATAGGAATAACACGTTTTATTTTTTAAATAAAAGTCTATCGTTTTAGACATCCCCCAGACCCACTTAATACATATAGTTTCATTCACATTTAAATAAAATAATCCATTAGTCCACACAGGAGTTGGCCTTTTGTTAGTTCTGAGTTCAAAATCAAGACCAAATCCCGTCAGTCCAAGAGAAAAAAATAAATAAATCAAATAGTCTTTGAAAGATCCAGAAAGAAACAAATAAACGGCTGCAGCTCTAGATCCCAACTTTGGCAGAGTTCATGTGCACAGTGGCAGACATGTTTGTAGTCTTTAGTAAAGCTGTGCTTGTAGTCCTCACTTCAGCAGCCACTGGTTCACTGAAACGAGAAAAGAGAAAAAACCATTAAGTGTTTTTGTGGGACACTTTCAACAACAACATGACATGGAACTAAAACAAAAGTGACTGTGTTGAGTTGTTGATCCACCCTCGCTGAGGTGTGTCCATCCTGCTGCTGTCAGACTGTACAACGAACAATGAGGACTAATGAACGCTGCCGACCTGACCTTACATGTCGTGCATCTGTGCAATCATCTGAACAATGTCAGAATGTGCAATATACCAGAGCCTCATGCTGCTAATGTACAGCTGTAAACATACGACTGTATATGTCTGCACTAGATTATACAGGGTTTATACCTGCTTCTTTATTAGGCAAGGCAAGGCAAGTTTATTTATATAGCACAATTCATACACAAGGCAACTCAAAGTGCTGAACAAAATAAGAAAGCATTAAAATCATAAATAATCACAGAACATTAAAAAGAAAGATAAAAATATTAAATCCCTCAGTTGTATGCACAGCTAAACAGAACTGTCTTTAACCTGGTTTTAAACATTGTCAGCGAGGAGGCCTGTCTCACATCTTCACCAGGACTAAAACAGGACTAAACCAGGACTAAACCAGGACTAAACTAGGACTAAACCAGGACTAAACCAGGTTTAAACCAGGACTAACCTGTTGAAACTAATGTGAAAGAACGCATTTCTGCGTCACCTTCACGAGCCCCATTCATTTAACAAGCGCGTTCAAAAGTCCACAGCGACTAAGCTAGACTGGTCCAAAAACATACACTCCCCTCAGTATTGACACACATTTGGAATTTAGCTTTGGAACGAGAACCCCTTTAGGACCAAGAGCCACTTTAGGACCATCCTGTACAGCCGTTTTCCAGAGGTAAGAAGATGCTATACATTAGCATTGGATAATTCTTATTCCGGGTCCAACCCCACAGGCCCAGGGTGGTATTGCAAGTATGTCAGCGCATGTCCTTTTTGGACATTTTTGAGATAATTTTGACAAAAAGTACTTGTCTAGTGAGTACTGAGAATAGTGAGATTACTTGAAATTAATTGAAAAGTAATCTGATTACTTTTCCGTATGAGTTTGACCAACATTGTTCACAACATAAATTGGCTTGGTTACCATGGCAACAATCTGTCTAATGTGGGTGATGTCATTGGAAATACGGAATCCAATGACTTCAAACCTCTATGACGTGTTACGAGCACAGGAGATATCTGGAACAGGAGACCTTTGGGCGTCGCTGTGGACAGAGGCTTCTCTGGGTCACAGTGAGGCCCAGCAGTAGTCACATATCTGTGGATTTAACATCATGGATAGTGATAGCAGTACTGACTCCTCAAATGAGGATACCCATTGTCCTCTGGACCAGGCTCGGAAACATGTGAGTGCCTCTCAGAAGATCGTCCTGGATCACATGTCTGGACCTTCTGTGCCTCATGAAGATCATTCCAGTCTCAAAGTCACCGTCCAACAGACGTTTGGTGAAAGCAGTTGCAGCAAAGACACATGTGTAAGACACCTGATCGATAGTTTAACTGCGAGGAACAATGTGCTCCAGTATCAGATCGCCAAATTGAGAGAGAAATGTGAGAGAACCCACCAGCAGAGAGGAGCAGAGCACTTGTCAGCAGCAGGAGAGAAGGCAACAGGAAGAGAGTCAGGCCTGTGCTGCTGAGCTCCTCTCTGAGGTCACACAAGGCTTCCACAGTGATAATGAAGAGGTTTGTGACATTCTCAAAGACTGTGTGGTCAAAACCAGGCAACTTCCACACAAAGCTGAGAAGCTAATGGAGAAAGTTGTGGCACAAGAACAGCTGCTCGAGGAGCTGCAGAAGTCCTTAGTAGACAAAGACCAATTCATTGCGAAAAGAAAAAGAAAAAGGGAAGAACTGGAGGAAGAGGTCAACACCTTGAGGGACTGTAACACATCTCTCAGAGCACAGATGGACCTCAAGGATCAGTCATCTTTGGAGGAAAAGACCAAACTGTCCAATGACTTTACATTAGAGATTAACAACCTCAAGGAGCAGTTGGCGAAGCAGCAGCAGTCCATACAAGAAAAGGACAAAACATCGCGTGAGCTGAAAACACAGTTACAGTCAGTAAACTTGGCCACAGAACGTCCATTTGTGAATACAGATGAAGCTGAGGACGGTCTGACTGTGGATTTACTGAGGGAGCATGATTACAAACTCCAGATAGAGGTGATCACTTTTAGCGACCCCTCTCTCACAGAAGAGAGGGTCCTCGAGGATCAGTCCTCTGTGGAGGAAAGGACCACAACATCCAATGGTTTTACATTGAAGGTAAGCGAGATACAGGGGCAGATGGAGGCGCTGCAGCAGTTCCCACTAGAAAAGGACCAAACAATTAGTGACCACCTGCCCACAGAACTTCCATCAGATGAACTGGAGGATAGTCCCAAAGCAGTTCTACAGAGAGACTGTATTCACAAACTGGAGATGGAGGTCAACACTTTGAGCGACACCTCTCTCACAGAAGAGAGGGTCCTCGAGGATCAGTCCTCTGTGGAGGAAAGGACCACAACATCTAATGTCTGTACTTTAAAGGTCAGAGCTCTTCAGGTGATGCAGAAGTATTTAAGAGAAAAGAACCAAATTATTGCGGCAAATCAAAACAAAACATTAGAACTCGAGAATAACATCAAGACACGTGACCAAATGATTAGTGAGCTGAGTGCTGAGGTAGAGTCACTAAAGCTGGCCACAGAACTTCCCTTTGCGAAAAAAGATGAACTGGAGGATAGTCCGATCTTAGATTATCAGAGAGAACATATTCACAAACTCGAGAAAGACCGGAAAGCTTTGAGGGACTGTAACACCTCTCTCACAGGAGAGAGGGTGCTTGAGGATCAGTCCTCTTAGGAGGAAAGGACCACAACATCCAATGTCTGTACTTTAAAGGTCAAAGCTCTTCAGGTGATGCAGCAGTACTTAAGAGAAAAGAACCAAATTATTGCGGCAAATCAAAACAAAACGTTAGAACTCGAGAATAACATCAAGAGACGTGACAAAATGATTAGTGAGCTGACTGCTGAGGTAGAGTCACTAATCCGGGCCACACTACTTCCCTTTACGAAAACAAATGAACTGGAGGATAGTCCGAGTGTAGATTTAATTTTAGAACTAGAAAATAACAATAAGACACGCGACAGAAAACTGTGTGAGCTGACTGCTGAGGTAGAGTCACAGGAGTCAACAGATGGACTGGAGGATAGTCCAAGTGTAGATTTACGGAGGGCGCGTATTCACAAACTAAAGATAGTGGTCAACACTTTGAGAGGCCGTAACAACGCTCTCACAGCAGAGAGAGAGATCATGGATCAGTCGTACCTGAAGGAAAAGACCAAGAAGAAGGATCTGGAGGAGGAGCATTTCTATGATGCCCTGGACTTTGTTTCTGAGGACAAAGATGTGGAAACATCTGCTTACAGAACTGTAGGAAAATATCTCATCAGGGGACTCATCGTGTTGAGTGCAGTGATTTTGCCTGCCACCGGGGGCTTCCTTCTGGGCAGTTCTCTCTGGAGTGAAGACGCTGGCTGTCACTATGACTTTGGTGGGAGTCCGGTTTTCTTCTAAACCCTAAACCTAACACTGTAATACCACCAGAGCACAGAACAGTGGGGGATAAAGGTATTCAGCAGTTACTGTCAATCAGAAACTGTCACATACCTTTGTGGCCCACTGTGGCACCAGGGGTCTGTGGTTATGAGGATCATCGCAGCAGGGTTGATATATTTTTTGCCACATACTGCCAGCAGAAGACTGTGGTCGAAAGTGTTGACACGTTTGTCTCATGGAAAGAGAATTCCATGATCCAAACCTCTCTTTAGTCTCTTGAGTCTCTTTATCCCACTCAAAAAAGGGCTGCAGCTATAGATTATTTTGGTTCTATTCATCTAGAACTTTATTGATCGAGTAACAGGATCATTTGTGTTCACAATTGTTTGTCTTGTTGCACTAAATGTTGACACAAGCATCTAAGCAGAGACGCCCAGACTTCCCTCTCACACACTTCCTCCAGCTCATGTTGCAGGTCCCGGGTTCGTTGGAGCCAACAGGACAATATCCGGGACAAACCACTCCTGAATCCGAGACTCGACCCTCGGTTGAAGTCTTCTCTCCAGTACCTTGGAGTAGACCTTACCGTGGAGGCTGAGGAGTGTGATCCCACAATAATTATACATACCCTTCAGTCCCCCTTCTTGTAGACGGTGGTCCCTCTCAGACCACCCCGGTCAGAGAGGGACCACCACCCCGGTCTGCTACTCCACTGATCGCCACGCGATGTTGCAGAGACGTGTCGGAGACACTTCCACATCATCCAGAGACCTTAGAGTCAGGATGGATCTCATCCACTCCTGGAGGCTGCCAACCACCATTGTGACCTCAGGGAGGTGGAAGTATCCGCCCCAACATCCTCAGCCTCCACCTCGTGACGGGGGGATTGAGGATAACCTCGAAGTATTCCTTCCACCGCCCGATAATATCCCCAGTTGACGTCAGCAGCCCTCCACCCGCACCGGACCGTACCGTTGGCAAAGAACTGCTTCCCCCTCCTGAGGCGCCGGACGGTTTGTCAGAACCTCTTTGAGGCCGACCAATAGTCCTGCTTCATGGACTCTCTAAACTCGTCCCAGTCGTGGGTTTATGCCTCTGCAACAGCCCGGGTTGCGGCACGCTTGGCCTCCCGGTACTGGACAGCTGCCTCAGGAGTCCCATGGACCATCATGGCTCGATAGGACTCCTTCTACAGTCTGACGAAAACCTGCAGCCACAGCTGCCCTTTCTGGACCGGTTTGGACAACGGCATCACATGTGATAATGTGGACTCTGAAGGGTCTATCTCTCAATACACAATATCCATAAACCTTACTATAAATAGTTAAAAGGGACCTAATCTTATTTTGTTCGTATATTGTGGTATTTTTTTGTGTTAAATAAAACTCATTTTGACAGATAGAAACTGCTAAGGGTGAAACTATCAATAATAATCATGAAAAAACATTTGCGGAAAAATTGCCAAGACCGGAAGTGACGTACACATAGGTGTCGTTGGGCTTTGTTGATAACGTTGTATACGGACGTTTTAAACAGATATTTGTCATTCAGTGATGGACAATACAAGTCAGGGGCTTTTATTTACAAGCCCTTGTATACTTGTTATGAAAGTAATTATGATTTTGAGGACTCTGACTCGGTTCAGATGAGGAGCAATCTGCAAGAAATGGACATTTGCGGACATTAGGGCCGTTTCCACGGGCTGGAGTATGGCTCTATGGTCCGACCGGGTCCGAACCGTCTCGACCCGGTTTGCGGATGCGGTCAGTTTGAGCTCGATGGTGCACCCGAGTGAGTTTAAGTAGCTAACGCTAAGTGTTAGCAAAGGTAGCGCTATGGACGAAGGAATGGATATCACGGACATCGCAGTGCAGAGAAAAGTTTAGAAGCGTATAAGTGACTACCGTGAAATGAAAGATCCCAGCCGTAAAAGTGACAGAACTGAAAAGTCTGGAGGTGGTTTGACAACAAGAATTTACGCTATTTTTACGGACATCAGCAAACAAGCAAACATCAGCTAACAAGCTAACACCAGCTAACAAGCTAACACCAGCTAACAGCTAACACGTCAATACCCGCAACTCAGAAGCCTCAACTCTATGTCCCAGCTCCAGATGCTGAGTTTGAGAGAAATGGTGAGTGTCTTCAATCAAATGCAAACATGTAGTGTTATGGTCTTATTCCGAACGTGTGTCTGTGGTTCTAAAGTCTTATTCTGAACGTGTGTCTGTGGTTCTAAAGTCTTATTCTGAACGTGTGTCTGTGGTTCTAAAGTCTTATTCTAAACGTGTGTCTGTGGTTCTGAAGTCTTATTCTGAACGTGTGTCTGTGGTTCTAAAGTCTAAAACATGTTGGTATGTGTCATATCTATATCTTTTACTAAACGTCGTTAGAGTGAAACATGGATTTATGGTTCAATGACAGTTGTTGTTTTTTCTTCTGAATACTGGGTTGAAACTCGTTAAATTGGTTTTAGTTGGAGCTTGATGGAACTAATTTCATGGACCTGGCGCTGGTGTCTTCTCTCAGTTTGTTTGGACCTTCTCTGAATAAGTCAAAGATCGTAGGGACTGCTGTTTACTCTCTTCTTTTTGTTACTTACATTGCTGCATCCCGGGGCCGTACAAAATACACCCATTTTAAGGTTTATTTGTGTCAAAGCGGCAGCAGGAGCAATGCCATAAACAGCGAGGCGAGAGCTGCGACCCCTCTAAGTACGTCTTCATTTTTCTGGCCAATCAGAGGCGTTGATATTAAAAGGTTATTTTACTGATTTATTACTTATCTATAACACAAAAACACGTTGCAAAGGTGGGAAATACATGCTTTTAATGTGTTTTATCAGAAAAAAAATAGTTTTTTAATAACGTTAGTGCCCTTTTAAGTTGATAAAAGTGTATAAATGTATTGTCTCTCTTTTTACTGTTGTGTTGGTCCCCCATAGTCCACACCAGCGGACTGTTGTGTTGGTCCACCATAGTCCACACCAGCGGACTGTTGTGTTGGTCCACCATAGTCCACACCAGCGGACTGTTGTGTTGGTCTCCCATAGTCCACACCAGCAGACTGTTGTGTTGGTCTCCCATAGTCCACACCAGCGGACTGTTGTGTTGGTCCCCCATAGTCCACACCAGCGGACTGTTGTGTTGGTCCCCCATAGTCCACACCAGTGGACTGTTGTGTTGGTCCCTCATAGTCCAAACCAGCGGACTGTTGTGTTGGTCCCCCATAGTCCACACCAGCGGACTGTTGTGTTGGTCCCCCATAGTCCACACCAGCGGACTGTTGTGTTGGTCCCCCATAGTCCACACCAGTGGACTGTTGTGTTGGTCCCCCATAGTCCACACCAGTGGACTGTTGTGTTGGTCCCCCATAGTCCACACCAGTGGACTGTTGTGTTGTCTCTGAAACAGTTGTTTTGTGTTTTACAATTTTTCTTTTTCTTGTTTTTTTCTGCCTGAGATGTTGCTGCAGTTCAGTGTTCATGGTTTTACACTGGTCCAGACCACAGCAGAGAGGATTAATGGTCCGAACCAAGTGGATCAGTCTCACTCAGTCTAACTCAGTCTAACTCAGCCTGACTCAGTCTAACTCAGCCTAACTCAGTCTAACTCAGTCTAAGCCTACACTGGTCCAGACCAGAGCAGTCTAACTCAGCCTGACTCAGTCTAACTCAGCATAACTCAGCCTGACTCAGTCTAACTCAGCCTGACTCGTAGAAGTAGTCATTCACCACATTAGCATTGTTTAGCATGAGAGAGAAAGCTATTAGCATTAGCACTGCTCAGAGCACAATTTGCGCCATACAAAATGGCGGCCAACAAGGCTAAACCAGGCTGGTCCAAACATGGCTAAACAAGGCTGGTCCAAAAATGGCTAAACCAGGCTGGTCCAAACATGGCTATACCAGTTTAAACAAGTTTAAAATGCTTCTTTTGGCATACAAAGCCAAAAGGGCTTGGCTCCCTCTTATCTTCAAGACATGTTAATGTCTTATCAACCAAGCCGAGCACTGCGCTCGCAAAACGCCAGACGTCTGTGGCAGAGCATTTAGCGCCAAGCTCCTCTACAGTGGAATCAACTCCCCACACACTTTAAGGAAGCAGACACTGTCTCTACATTTAAGGCCAGGCTTAAAACACTATTTTTCAACTTGGCATTTGGTTAGGTTGTTGTCCGGTCAGGTTTCGTCCGGTCTTGGAGTCTGCGTGTGGGACCCGGTCCGCTGCATCTTCAACCCTACGTTCTAGGCTAGGCTAAAACAGTCCTCTTTAGTTTAGCATATGGCTAGGAAGGTAAGACTCAGGGAAGGCTAAACTCCTCAGACTGTCAGTCAAGCTGCATAGGGAGCCCCCTGCTGGAGAAGTATGGTAACTTGAGCACTATCCTCTCCTCTTTCCTACTTTATCTGTTTAGCATTATTAGGATTTTGACTGTAGTCTGTTCATTGCTATTCACCCGTTGTCCCATTGTCTGTTCCATGGTACTATGACGGGATCTCTGAGCCTGGCCTCCTCCATCTACACCTGCGGACTGCCCCGCCCGACCCGCCTGGGAGTGCTTCAGTCCTGCACCGGACCTGTCCACGTTCAGCGGCCAATGGTCCACGTTCTGTAGCTAGCTTAGGTCCTGGATCTACAGCCCGTCCGTGGGAGCGGATCCATTTCTCAATATGGGTTTCTCCGAGGTTTCTCAATTTTTCCCGCTGGTTTTTTAAATGAGTTTTTCCTTGCCGATGCAGGAGCGTCTGTTGGGCAGTTAGTGTCCAACTAGAAGGACTGTGATGATCCAGGACACTTTAACATTCTACAACATGTGTTTTATATTCTTCATGTGTTTTAACTGTTGATTCTCTGATCTGTGTTGGTGATTTCAATGGTTTTGTTAAATCTCTGAGAGGACTTTTGTTGTGATTCAGGGAAATACAAGAATAAATTATTCAATAGTAATTGTAATTGTTGTAACCAGGCTGGTCCAAACATGGCTAAATCAGGCTGGTCCAAACATGGCTAAACCAGGCTGGTCCAAACATGGCTAAACCAGGCTGGTCCAAAGAATCCCACTCCCTCATCTTTGACACATGGAGCAGCTGTAAAGACACTACAACACTACAATAACACAACTCTACAACAATACAACGCTACAGCACTACAACACCACAAGCTGAACCACTAAAGTCCAGCTTTAGTGGTTCAAAGTTAAAACAGTCGAACAAAAGGTTTTCCAATCAAAATGGCGGCTCTGGGAGTAACTGTGGGAGTCCTGGTGTTAAATGGGCAGTTTTTTATTATTATTAGTATTCATGAGGAAGATGAAGGACACAGGAATCAGGAACAACTTTCACAAACACCATTCTCACAGAAACAATTCTAAATTATTCACATCAGCAAAGCGTATATGAAGTATCTCAAACTACATCTTGCGGCATTATGAATAAATAAATAGCCCAAACTTCTGTTGGATTTACGGTTTGGTCGAGGCGCGGCCGAGGCTGGATGGATGCTTCAGCGCGGTCGGAATAATCACGACCGCTGCAGAGAAACTGAAGCCTCTAATGAATGAGGGCCGTGCATGGGCAATTAGTTCAAGAGCCGGTTATTAATCACTTAAGGCGGACTGGAGAGAACGTTTGCTTTCAAAGAACTCAGTGGGAAAATGTGAAAATAAGTTCAAGCTTATGAATTAGTTTTTAACTGGATTTTAGTGTTTTGAACGTCTTGGAATCAACAAAGTCATTCAGAGAAGATCATGGTAATACAGTGTCGTGGGGTTTCTGCACAGGCCTGGAGCCACACAAGGAAAATGAACTAAGAGCTGTAATACAATCAAAGTGTGAGTTTATTCATGAGTAAATGTGACAAATACAATGAAAAACAGAACCACCTGCAGCTCTGAAGCCGTCTGCTCCGAATGAGGAAACTACTGGACGTTAAATAGACCAGAGTAAACAACATCTACTCTAGATACGTAAGTGAAGTCTGTACTGACATGTGTGAAGGAGAGGTTCTGCCGGTCTTTCCTTCCTGCTGCTGTCAGACTGCACAATGAGAACTGCTGAGCCTGTACATGTCATTTATCTGCAAATCAGTAAATACTGCAATGGAGTGCAATACTGCATTTCAGAATGTCACTTAACTTTATCTACTTATTACCCTGCCCTATGTGTACAGTATGGAACTTTATATATATATATATATATGTATATATAGAGGGATAACCGCCTGCGGAGGGCCAAAGGTGAGTGGACAATTTTTTTTATATATACTGTATGTATAAATATATACATATATATAAATACACGTTTGGGGTCACATTGAAATGTCCTTATTTTTGAAGGAAAAGCTGTAGATAACTTTAAACTAGTCTAAACTGTAAAGAAATACACTCTGTACATTGCTTATGTGGTAAATGACTATTCTAGCTGCAAATGTCTGGTTTTTGGTACAATGTTGTAATTGCTGCAAATGGAGGATTCTTTGAAGAAAGCAAAGTTGGATGTAAAACAAATCTTATTTCAAATACAAATGATTATTTCTAACCTTGTCAATGTCATGACTTGGAACTTTTGAACGGTAGTGTATATATATAGAGAGATAGATATTTTGAAAGATTGTTATTGAAGCATTTACAGCTAAGAAACAAAGCAGCTGCTTATTTTGTCTATTCTGTGTGCTCCTGTATCTCTACTGTCCTGTCTGTGCGCTGCAACATTGAAATGTCTCCACTGTGGGAAGAATAAAGGACACATGTAATAATCTGCTCTATCATGGAGCGTTCTGTCTTTGACACAGATATTGCTGAAAATCTGCTGAAACATATTTCCTATCTGTGATCTGAGCTACTGCCAACAGGAAGTGTAGAGGATTAGCTAATAAGCTCTTAATGTTTTAATGTTCATTCAGATTTCTGTAACTTAATTTTGTACTTTATTTTTATCTTCCACATTCTCCTGTTTAGCAACCTTTTTGTATTTTTTTTCTTTCTTCCCTTTAAATGAAAATGAAAACACTTATAATATATAAATAAAAAATAAAAATGTAAAGACATTGTCAGACCTGGCGACGCGCGGCTCCTTTCACTCCTCACAGATTTACATGTTCTTTTCAAACGCAGCAAATTAAAAACCAGATTTTAGTGCAATCAAAATAAAGTTTCCCTTTTTAAGCAAATCTGTTCAAATGTGCTGCGAAAAACAAAATTAAGAAAACCACTTTTTACAAAGTTCGGGAATTTAACTCTTCACATGTTTGATGAAGCCTAAAATTGTGTTAAATGGAATAAAAAAGATTAGAATCTGAAAAAACCAGACCCAACCTGTGTTATGTGTAAGGTTTAAGCATATAGCGTGTGCGTGTGTGTGTGTGTGTCTGTGTGTACCTCTGAACTGGGGCCTCACAGCGCGGTTGTGTGTGTGTACTTCTGTACTGGAGCCTCACAGCGTGGCTGTTGGGGCAGTGTGTGTGTGTGTGTGTACCTCTGTACTGGGGCCTCACAGCGCGGTTGTGTGTGTACCTCTGTACTGGGGCCTCACAGCGCGGTTGTTGGGGCAGTGTGTGTGTGTGTGTGTGTACCTCTGTACTGGGGCCTCACAGCGTGGTTGTTGGGGCAGTGTGTGTGTGTGTGTACCTCTGTACTGGGGCCTCACAGCACGGTTGTTGGGGCAGTGTGTGTGTGTGTGTGAACCTCTGTACTGGGGCCTCACAGAGCGGTTGTTGGGGCAGTGTGTGTCTGTGTGTACCTCTGTACTGGGGCCTCACAGAGCGGTTGTTGGGGCAGTGTGTGTGTGTGTGTGTGTGTACCTCTGTACTGTGGCCTCACAGCGCGGTTGTTGGGGCAGTGTGTGTGTGTGTGTACCTCTGTACTGGGGCCTCACAGCGCGGTTGTGTGTGTGTGTGTACCTCTGTACTGGAGCCTCACAGCGTGGCTGTTGGGGCAGTGTGTGTGTATGCGTGTACCTCTGTACTGGGGCCTCACAGCGCGGTTGTTGGGGCAGTGTGTGTGTGTGTGTACCTCTGTACTGGGGCCTCACAGCGTGGTTGTTGGGGCAGTGTGTGTGTGTGTGTACCTCTGTACTGGGGCCTCACAGCACGGTCGTTGGGGCAGTGTGTGTGTGTGTGTGTGAACCTCTGTACTGGGGCCTCACAGAGCGGTTGTTGGGGCAGTGTGTGTCTGTACCTCTGTACTGGGGCCTCACAGAGCGGTTGTTGGGGCAGTGTGTGTGTGTGTGTACCTCTGTACTGTGGCCTCACAGCGCGGTTGTTGGGGCAGTGTGTGTGTGTGTGTGTACCTCTGTACTGGGGCCTCACAGCGCGGTTGTGTGTGTGTGTGTGTACCTCTGTACTGGGGCCTCACGGCGCGGTTGTTGGGGCAGTCCGGGCCCTGTTTGCTGAAGTGGATGTTGGTCCTGATGCAGCGCTGCAGCAGTGACTGCGTGGGCCTCGTGTTGTCGCTCATACTGGAGAAGATCTTATACGGCTCGTTCTGGCTCAGCAGTCGCAGAGAGTGCATCTGCGGACACACAACACACACTCACACACAACACACAACTCAGCACACAACTGAACACAGTGTGACGTCCTAGGAGTATGTTTTAATGTTGGATTGAACCTTCTACTCTCCGCTGTAACTGTGTAAACTAGAGACTACATTAAAGCACATTGGTCCCGCCCCCTTTGGACCATTGGTCTCTTCAACTAGATTCAGCATCAATCAATTATTTTGTGGCACAGTGGGGCGGCTGCGGCTGTAAAGTGGCAAACTGTGGTTGTGTCCTTAGGCAAGACACTTCACCCACATTAGAATGAGTCTGGTGTGTGTGTGAATGGTTGGTGGTGGTGGGAGGGGCCGATGGCACAGACTGGTTGCCTACCTTCTGTCAGTGTGCCCCAGGGCAGCTGTGGCATCACTAGTTTTCAATGTGACTTTTGCTCTGTATCTTCTCACTTTTGCAGTTTTAACATTTAAATCCAATAATTAGCCGAACAATATTTTAAAATGTGAATTGCTGTCTGCAGATTGACAGCGATGGTGGAGATGAAGCTAAAACACAACCACAGCTGTTTTTGATGAGAGAAAATGACATTAAGTCCAGTTTTCTGCCAAAATTATGAAATGATATCAGAGTCTGCGGTCCACCTCAGACATCTCTCTCTCTTCTTCTCCACCTCAGACATCTCTCTCTCTTCTTCTCCACCTCAGACATCTCTCTCTTCTTCTCCACCTCAGGCATCTCTCTCTCTTCTTCTCCACCTCAGACATCTCTCTCTCTTCTTCTCCACCTCAGACATCTCTCTCTCTTCTTCTCCACCTCAGACATCTCTCTCTCTTCTTCTCCACCTCAGACATCTCTCTCTCTTCTTCTCCACCTCAGACATCTCTCTCTCTTCTTCTCCACCTCAGACATCTCTCTCTTCTTCTCCACCTCAGACATCTCTCTCTCTCTTCTTCTCCACCTCAGACATCTCTCTCTCTTCTTCTCCATCTCAGACATCTCTCTCTCTTCTTCTCCACCTCAGACATCTCTCTCTCTTCTTCTCCACCCCAGACATCTCTCTCTCTTCTTCTCCACCTCAGACATATCTCTCTCCTCTGCTCCACCTCAGACATCTCTCTTTCTTCTTCTCCACCTCAGACATCTCTCTCTTCTTCTCCACCTAAGACATCTCTCTCTCTTCTTCTCCACCTCAGACATCTCTCTCTCTTCTTCTCCACCTCAGACATCTCTCTCTCTTTTTTTCCACCTCAGACATCTCTCTCTCTTCTTCTCCACCTCAGACATCTCTCTCTCTTCTTCACCTCAGACATCTCTCTCTTCTTCTCCACCTCAGACATCTCTCTTCTTCTCCACCTCAGACATCTCTCTCTCTTCTTCACCTCAGACATCTCTCTCTTCTTCTCCACCTCAGACATCTCTCTTCTTCTTCACCTCAGACATCTCTCTCTTCTTTTCCACCTCAGACATCTCTCTCTCTTCTGCTCCACCTCAGACATCTCTCTTTCTTCTTCTCCACCTCAGACATCTCTCTCTCTTCTTCTCCACCTAAGACATCTCTCTCTCTTCTTCTCCACCTCAGACATCTCTCTCTCTTCTTCTCCACCTCAGACATCTCTCTCTCTTCTTCTCCACCTCAGACATCTCTCTCTCTTCTTCTCCACCTCAGACATATCTCTCTCTTCTGCTCCACCTCAGACATCTCTCTTTCTTCTTCTCCACCTCAGACATCTCTCTCTTCTTCTCCACCTAAGACATCTCTCTCTCTTCTTCTCCACCTCAGACATCTCTCTCTCTTCTTCTCCACCTCAGACATCTCTCTCTTCTTCTCCACCTCAGACATCTCTCTCTCTTCTTCTCCACCTCAGACATCTCTCTCTCTTCTTCTCCACCTCAGACATATCTCTCTCTTCTGCTCCACCTCAGACATCTCTCTTTCTTCTTCTCCACCTCAGACATCTCTCTCTTCTTCTCCACCTAAGACATCTCTCTCTCTTCTTCTCTCCACCTCAGACATCTCTCTCTCTTCTTCTCCACCTCAGACATCTCTCTCTCTTTTTTCCACCTCAGACATCTCTCTCTTCTTCACCTCAGACATCTCTCTCTTCTTCACCTCAGACATCTCTCTCTTCTTCTCCACCTCAGACATCTCTCTCTCTTCTTCTCCACCTCAGACATCTCTCTATTCTTCTCCACCTCAGACATCTCTCTCTCTTCTTCTCCACCTCAGACATCTCTCTCTCCTTCTCCACCTCAGACATCTCTCTCTCTTCTTCTCCACCTCAGACATCTCTCTATTCTTCTCCACCTCAGACATCTCTCTCTCTTCTTCTCCACCTTAGACATCTCTCTCTCTTCTTCTCCACCTCAGACATCTCTCTCTATTCTTCTCCACCTCAGACATCTCTCTCTCTTCGTCTCCACCTCAGACATCTCTCTCTCCTTCTCCACCTCAGACATCTCTCTCTCTTCTTCTCCACCTCAGACATCTCTCTTCTTCTCCACCTCAGACATCTCTCTCTCTTCTTCTCCACCTCAGACATCTCTCTCTCTCTTCTCCACCTCAGACATCTCTCTCTCTTCTCCACCTCAGACATCTCTCTCTTCTTCTCCACCTCAGACATCTCTCTTCTTCTCCACCTCAGACATCTCTCTTCTTCTCCACCTCAGACATCTCTTTCTCTTCTTCTTCACCTCAGACATCTCTTTCTCTTCTTCTTCACCTCAGACATCTCTCTCTCTTCTTCTCCACCTCAGACATCTCTCTCTCTCTTCTTCTCCACCTCTGACATCCCTCTCTCACAGATCTGACGCCAACTGAAGCCGATCGTGGTCATTATTCATCTCTGATTGGTTTATCCAGTGAGATGTCACTTTCCCGCTGGAGCAGGCGGACGGAGCGTGCAGCAAATCCTTGGGAAGTCTCAGCGAGCGTTTGTAAGTCATCGCTGTAGTGTTTTCACGTGTCGAGAATTATGTAAATGGACTTGTATTAAAGCCTGGAGCCGTGTTTTAATCCCTCGCTGGATCAAGGCTCGCTGCTCGCTCTGGGCGGGAAACTGCTGCTGTTTGTTTGATAAGGACAATGTTCTCACACAGAGGAATACTGTTGCTACTGATACTGCTGCTGCTACTGCTGCTACTGCTGCTACTGCTGCTACTGCTGCTGCTGCTACTGCTGCTACTGCTGCTACTGCTGCTACTGCTGCTGCTGCTACTGCTGCTGCTGCTGCTCCTGCTGCTGCTGCTGCTCCTGCTGCTACTGCTGCTGCTGCTTCTGCTGCTACTGCTGCTGCTGCTACTGCTGCTGCTGCTGCTACTGCTGCTACTGCTGCTACTGCTGCTGCTCCTGCTGCTACTGCTCCTGCTGCTACTGCTGCTGCTACTACTCCTGCTGCTGCTGCTGCTGCTCCTGCTGCTACTGCTGCTGCTGCTCCTGCTGCTACTGCTGCTGCTGCTGCTGCTGCTACTGCTGCTGCTGCTACTGCTGCTGCTGCTGCTACTGCTGCTACTGCTGCTACTGCTGATACTGCTGCTACTGCTGCTACTGCTGCTACTGCTGCTGCTGCTCCTGCTGCTGCTGCTGCTGCTACTGCTGCTGCTCCTGCT